TGTGTGTGTGTGTGTGTGGGTTTGTATGTGTGTGTGTGTGTGTGTGTGCGCCTGTGTGTGGGTTTGTATGTATGTGTCCGTGTTTGTCCAGCATTTCCCCTAATCGTAACCCCACCTCCTATCCTGTATTTCTTACACTCATCGTGACGCTTCACTGGATAGGCATTTTGTGGAGGATGGATGGATGATATATATATTTAAGATAAACATGACCGTGTTTCTACCAACTAAGTTAGCTAATGGGTTGAGATGAAAGCCTGTTTTGAATCCTGTACAGCTTTAAATCTCCAGTCGCAAACCCCTGCAGAGGGAATCGGCCTGCTCACTGCACACAGCAGCTGGTCCTCCGAGGCCTTCCTCAGTGCTTACCCTTCTGACAGGGCAGTGTAAATTGGCCTTGCCGGAATAGTGGTTGCTGAACTTGGGGCAGGATTCACTTGCGCGTTACCCTGGCAGGCGATCGCAGATGGTGCTGAGTTAATGGTGCAGTCGCACCCGGCTACTGGAGGACATCATCACAACGTTTAAAGTTGTGCAGCGCTCTGTGTCACAAACAGCCGTCCCCTGATGGTGTCCCTCTGTGTCGCTGAGCACCTGTCCCTTGATGATGTCCCTCTGTGTCGCTGAGCGCCTGTCCCCTGACAATGTCCCTCTGTGTCGCTGACCCGCTGTCCCCTGACGATGTCCCTCTGTGTCGCTGAGTGCCTGTCCCCTGACGATGTCCCTCTGTGTCGCTGAGCGCCTGTCCCCTGACAATGTCCCTCTGTGTCGCTGACCCGCTGTCCCCTGACGATGTCCCTCTGTGTCGCTGACGTTGTGGGGGTATGTATGTTTTTTGTTATTATCAGCAAACTGTCAGTCTGACGTTTCAAATTGCCTGCCAGTCCAATGCCATCCTTAGAATCGGAATCACAGCAACGTGTCACCTGTCATTCTGTCCCCAAGTGAAGCTCCACCTCCCAGTCTGAAAGGCACTGGAACATTTGCGATCTGAATGAAGGCCTTTGATCTTTGACCCCCAGCTTAGTGGTATAGCCTTCGGTCTGGCCTGTTATTACACGTTCTTATTGCTCAGGAACAGCGTTAGCTTGTTCTTCAGTCATTATGAG